CGTAAGCCACTGTGGCTGGCCTAAATCCAATTTTTAATTTATCTTCTCGCCCAAGCTAGAGTGCAGTGGCACAATCTCAGCTCACAGCAACCTCCACCTCCATGGTTCAATTGATTTTTGCGCCTCAGCCTCCTGAGTAGGTGGGAGTACAGACACCTGCCACCATGCCTGGCTAGTTTTTGTATTTTTAGTACAGATGGGGTTTTGCCATGTTGGCTAGGCTGGTCTTGAACTCCTGACCTCAAGTGATCTGCCTGCCTTGGCCTCCCAAAGTGCTGGGATTACAGGCATGAGCTACTGCTCCTGGCCTGCTCCTGTGTCTTTTTTTTTTTTTTTTTTTTTTTGAGACAGAGTCTTGCTCTGTCACCAGGCGCCAGGCTGGAGTGCAGTGGCATGATCTCGGCTCAATGCAACCTCTGTCTCCTAGGTTCAAGCAATTCTCCTGCCTCAGCCTCCCGAGTAGCTGGGACTACAGGTGCATGCCACCACGCCCAGCTAATTTTTCATTTTTAGTAGAGATGGGGTTTCACCATGTTGGCCAGGCTGGTCTTGATCTCTTGACCTCGTGATCCACCCACCTCGGCCTCCCAAAGTGCTGGGATTACAGGTGTGAGCCACCGCGCCCAGCCGCTTCCTTATTGGATACAAACTTCTAGAGGCCCAGGAACCATCTCTTTTCTCCCTTGCTGTCCCTTGGACTCTCTGCTTGCCCAGGACTGGCACAGGCCAACCTGTCTCTGATGAGCAGCAAGTCAGCCCTCCACCAAGCTGCCCACAGCTAAGTTGTGTGCTGCACCCTCCCCAAATGAAAATTACATTGAAAGCTGTAATATATATGTGATATAAGCATACAGATTTTTTAAAAGCCCAATTGAAAATTACTAAAGATGACTTTAGATATTTAAAAAGTCACAAGCGCAACCAATTAATTTCTTCACATTTTCCTTCTCCCTCATTAAGCAGAAAATTCTATCAGAGAAGCAAAGCTTTCAAGATACAATTCTTGCTAGCCTGGAGCAGAAAACACTAATGCAAGCACTTAAAAAATGTGTATAGCAAATCTGGGTGACTTCAGTTTCCTTAGGATGAACTCTTTTTTCTTTAATAAGGTGAAAACATTACATCTTTATTTTCATTAACCTGCAACTGAACACTGGCATTTCCTTCAAGAATGTGTCTAGGCAAGGAACCTCTCTAATAGGAGTTCCTGTGATGTGCTAAACATAGAAATCTCTGATATTTGTATTTCCACCAATGCTTTTGCAGACATCTAAATGTCTTTTTTTTCTTCCCTTGATGCTCATCCTCTCTCTATTTGGGCAAGCTGCTCCATCACCCTCCCCCTGGTCCTCCCTCCAATTCTGTCCTGTATCTGGAGGACACAGGACTCTCCACAGGAGCCCTTCCTGATTCCTACTGTGTGGTCAGCTCTGGGCTCACCGCCTTTGCTGTGTCCCCGTGCACACCAACTTCCTACAGCATGCCCTTGACCATCCTTTTGAGTTTCTGGGGGACATAAGATGAACTACTAGATTGTGTTATTTAATGCATAAAGGGGTACATATATTACACCACAACTTCTAAAAATTTTTGGTAATTGTATGTAAACATAATTGCTTTCATCTGTGATCCCAGGGTTTTTATGTGCATTTCCATAATACTGAGTTTATAGCCTTTATCAAACTGCCAAAGGGGTTGATCCATGGCACAGAAAGAGCTAAGTTGTTCGTTTCAATCTATTTTACATAAAACCAAATTTTATTGCAGCATAAATCATGGACCAAACTGACAATGTTTCCCTCATGCCAGAAAATTGTTCATTAAGGAATAGAATGGTTCTTGGTATACACTTCATTAAACTCCATCCCTGCAAGTTTCCTCTTTGACCTCTTAAAATCCAAGCTGGTTTTGATGCATTCATTGGTGTACAACTTTTCACTTGTTTCTTACATTGGTTGTAAACACGGCATGAAGCCCATTCTATTCACTCCAATAGCCAAAGCCATCTTATTTGGAGATGCATTTCTGTGGCAGAGATAGGACCAATTCCTTCAAGTAACCAATATTGATTGTGCTAGGCTCTTGGGATTCAGAGATGAGCCAGGACAAGGTCGTGTCCTCAGGGAGCTGTGTGTGACTCTGTCGGGTGGGGAAGGAAAGGTGCCACAGCCTGGGCACAGCTTAGACCAACATAGGGAGGTTTATAAAAGGATGGTCAAGGGCATGCTGTAGGAAGTTGGTGTGCACGGGGACACAGCAAAGGCGGTGAGCCCAGAGCTGACCACACAGTAGGAATCAGGAAGGGCTCCTGTGGAGAGTCCTGTGTCCTCCAGATACAGGACAGAATTGGAGGGAGGACCAGGGGGAGGGTGATGGAGCAGCTTGCCCAAATAGAGAGAGGATGAGCATCAAGGGAAGAAAAAAAAGGTCTTCATTCTGATCATGGCAATAGGCATGGTTGTGAGAGCTGTGAGTTGATGAAATCTGGTGACCGCTGATGGGGAGGAGTTCCAGGACCGAGTCTGAGCTCGGGCACCCCTGTGGGGTGATGGCTCAGAGGGGCTGGGGGCTGGAGGATTACAAAATAACTGACTTGGTACAGGCCCCAAGTGGCTTCACAGAAAGATGGCCAGGTGCAGATCGAGGCAAGAATTAATCAGGGACAAAACTGTCCTTTTCTAGATAAGTCAGAGCCTAATTTTTTTCTAATTAAATCTTTTCCTAAAGAACACCTACAAATATCATAACGTTATGTTAATTATCATTCTCAAGAATGTCAATGTCAAAGTCAACATCAAAAAAAAAAAATCAACATCAATGAAAAACTGGAGCTTTCACTGAGCTACTTGGCTGGGCCTAAGGAGTATTTGGGAGAAAAATCTTCATTCATATTCAGACTGGTACCAACCAATTCTGAACATGTATAGGCCAAGAAAAAATAGCATGAAGGGGTTGTTCTTGTTGCCTGAAATAGTCCGGCTGTAGTAGGGATGTTTCCCTGTTAAGAACAAACTGCATTCCCTGCCAGCTTGTGGGTGACAGTGATCATCTGGGTACAGTGTACCTGGGATGAGGGAAAGCAGTGCCAGCCACTGTAATAAGAAACTCTCACCTTCTCGGTGGCCAATCATCGTTTTCTGTCTAGATGCTGCGTGAGATACTTTGCTGGACAGAGCTTAGAGGAGTCCCTCAGGGACCTGTGGTCCTTCTGTATGCCCCTGCCTCACCTTTCGGGCCTTGAAGTTCTTCCTGATTAGCTGGAAGAGTAGAGGATTTCTGGAAGGTTCCTGCAAGCTGGACTCAACAGCAGGCAACTGGTAGCATTTGGGTTCCTATCCCCCAGCTGAACCGCACTGGACCACAAGGGAGATGGGGAAAGACAGCCCAGTCGCTTGCTCAGGGAGAGGATGGATCTTGGGCAAACACAGCAGTCAGTCATCAGAAGAGCTTTCTTCCTTTAAGAAGTGCCTTCCTCCACCCCGGCTTTGTGTTGGGCGGAGGGCACAAAGATAGATCAAAACCGATTCCTGCCCTGCACCATTCTTCCCAAGCAGGCCATGCCCAAAGGGCCAGCCATGCGCCGGGCGGCGGGTGAATTGTGCCCCTAAAAAGACACATCCGGCCAGGTGCGGTGGCTCATGCCTGTAATCCCAGCACTTTGGGAGACCGAGGTAGGCGGATCACGAGGTCAAGAGATCGAGACCATCCTGGCCAACATGGTGAAACCCCATCTCTACTAAAAACACAAAAATTAGCTGGGTGTGCGCCTGTAGTCTCAGCTACTCAGGAGGCTGAGGCAGGAGTATTGCTTGAACCTGGGAGGTGGAGGTTGCAGTGAGCCGAGATCGCGCCATTGCACTCTAGCCTGGTGGCGGAGCGAGACTCTGTCTCAAAAAAAAAAAAAAAAAAAAGACACATCAAAGTCCTAAACCCTGTTGTGAATGTGACCCTACTTAGAGACAGGGTCATCCTAGATGTCATCAAGTTAAGATGAAGTCTTGATGGATTAGGGTGGGCTTTAAATCCTATGACTGGTGTCTTTCTAAGGAAAGAGATTTAGTCACAGAGAACAAGCAACCATGTGATACCTTGATTTCAAACATCTGGCCCCCAAAACTGTGACAGAACACATATCTGTTGTCCTAAGCCATGGAGGGCACCTGGTTACGGCAGTCCTGAGTTGAAGTCCCTGCCTCTCTTATTAGCTGTGTAAATTATGGGACACATTGCGCCCTGTCCTCGACTGCAAAATGGGTGTGTGGACCCAGCTGGTAGGTGCTGCAGGTGGAATTAACACAGGCACAAGGGGTGGAAAGAGTCCAGCTAACAGAGGGCTCATGCTCACTCCACAAGTCCCAGCCACAGAGAGGGCTCAGCCTCTCCTTGCCCCCACGCACCCTGTCTCATCAACGCTGCGAAGGCACTGGTCCCCAGGTCTAGCCTGTTGCTGGTCTAGCTGGCTCCCATTTAGCCTTCAAGCCTTGCATCAAAGTCAGGTTCTCGAGAAAGATTTCCATAAGCCCCACTCCTCACCCTACCTCCAAGTGAAGTTGGTCTCCATTAGGAGCTCCTGCACTGCGATCTCCCCCACAACACCATCTTCCTAAAGCATGGTCTGCGCTTGTTTGCTGTAATCCGCATTTCAAGGCTGACGCCTGGCACACAGAAATAGCTCCATCCTAAACCTTGTCTTGTGGGAATGGGGTTGCCAATTCACAGGACCCAGAAAAAAGCAAGCCATCAGTGTGCTTCCCTGCGGGTGCCCTGGGTGGCAGCGATTCCCATTTGGTTAGTGATGACTGAGTTATTGGCGTTTCAAGAGCAAATTAAATGAATACCAAGAAAACAGACACCTGCCACGGCAGCTGCTGTCCTGTCATCTAGGGGTGACTATTTCGGGGAGGCAGCCACTGGTCTATGTACAAATACTTACATTAGGTTTTATTTTTGTTTTATTGAAAGTTTGGTTGGGTACAGAAAAAACACACACACTTAACAGGTTAAAATATCCAAATAAAATTTACTGCAACTTTTGTAGAATTTTATTTGTGCTACAAGACACGTTGCATAGGAAACTCTTTAAAGCCCCTGAGGAAAAATATCCATGGTTTAAGGTGCAACTGGTTTTGTTTCTTCTTTGGGGAAAAGGTGACAGATGATCTCTGGGAGAAATTATGGGGTTGAGTTGAGAAGCACAATGGAAGGCTGTATCGTGGGATGACTGGGGAATTGTGTGTCCTGGTTCTTGCAGCATACAATAGCTAGTGTTGGTCTTCAGTATCTGAATAAGTAGCTATATAACGTTTCAGGCCAATAAGGGAGTATACGTTGATTATACTAAGGAAGTAACGCGTTTCAAGAAAGCAGTTTTAGAGAATGAGATTTGGGATCCCAAATGGCCCCTGACAATAGCAGACACACCGGGTGTGTCCTGACTTGTTGCTGGGGCTCACCGCATTCTACTGATTTGCCAGGAATCAGTCCTGCCTGCCGCTCCCTTCTAAGATGCAACATCTACCGTGTGTCATGAAATTCACACCGCATGTCTGCACCCCAGTTATCAATGCCACACTTTGCCAAGTTCCTGACTTTATGTGAGACACGTTTTCATTTTTACAAAATGGTCACCTTCCTCAGATGATCTTTACATTGTACAAAAGACGGTTTCATCTAAACGATTACTTCTTTTGGAGGAGACACAGGTACACCGGGAGGGAAGAGGGGTTAAGCCTTAGATGAAATGAAATGCAGAGTTTGGCAAATGGCAGCTGGCACCTCTGCACGTTGGCATAAGGCGTTGCCTGTGAGGCCAACCACAGCATCTGCCACAAACACGACAGTCGGTGGCCACCAAGGCTCTGGTTTCATCATGAAGTTTTCTTCCTGTCCACAGAAGAGGCGGCAAACTCGATGGGAAGCACTGCTTTGACCCCAGGAAGAAACAGGACAATAGCCTGGTAGCAGCAGGGACCACCTCACTCTCAAATGGCACTGCTCTTGTGAAGGACTGATTGCACACGGGCAGGGATCCTAAAGACTGTCAACTCCTGACTGCTTTCTAATCTACTGGCAGAAACAGCTCACGGCACCTAAATGCTAGTATGTTAGCAGGACTTCACTCTGCTCAGTAAAGCTCACCAAAGAGTCACACGTTCTGTGGATGGCCATTTACTATGCATGAGACAAAGCACCGAGGACAGTCAAATCCAGGGAGGGGGCAGGACCTTGGGCCTTCTCAGGAAGGGTGTGAGCTGTACCCGTTTACTAAAAAGCCACTTTTCCCCATGCGATTCCCCTTCTTACATGTAGGATGTGAAAGAGGTCCAACAACCGAAGAAGTGTCTTTCCGGGCTGAGTGTTGAAATGCAAAGTGTGGCTGGAAATCAGAAATGCCCCCAGTGACCTTTAAATACCTGTGTACATCCCTAACATAATTTAAAAAGGCCTGTGACAACATAAAAACCTCAACAGCCTGTGCCCCTATTTTCTTTTAAACCTTTATGGTCCATAAAAAAATTAGATACCACCTTTCTCATCCATCCCTTCCCCTCATTCTTTAAAAAAATGATTTCCAATTTAAATTTATACTTAACAAATAGAAAGCTATGCGACTGGCAATGACCTCTGGTAGGAAGTCCCTTCAGGCCTCTCCCTTGATGGAGAAGGGTGGCGCATTACGGGTATAGGTCCAGCTGGCAGACCCTAAATATGTTCAGGCAGCCACCCCTTCCTCCCTCTTCAGCTCTGCGGTCATGGCAGCAGGAGGGGAGGGGACCCATTCAAATCACAAAGTCGTCCTGGTCCGCGGGGCTGAAGGCGGCTGCTCTCAGAATGTCCAGGGAGTTCACCAAGATCAGAGTCCCAGTGAGGTGCTTCCAGCGCTTGGTGATGGGGTTTTTCATCTTGTCCAGGCCCAGGTGCAGCTCCTGGATGACATCCCGGTAGCTGTCCCCGATCTGATGGCTCCAGGTGAGTAGGAAGTCATATGCAGGCTTCCACATGGCCTGGGAGGTGCAGTAAAAAAAAAAAAAACAAACAAAAGGAGGGAGAGAGGAAGAAAGATGAGGAGACAGAACGAGATTTGTTCCTATTACTTAGTGCGGCTCCTGTAGTTACTATCTGGGACACTCTTTCAAGAGTGCGACAAGCCCACAGAAGAACAGTGGAAGCATCTCGGGGCCAGTGTCAGCACGTTCCAGAGGGAAGAGCAGGGCTTTGTGCAAGAGTAGGTGTGCAACAAATGAATAAACAGAAAATCATCACGGCACCTTTTCTCTGTGCCGTTTGGAAATTCATTCTGTTCATAAAAGACACCCTTGTGCTTGGGACTACCTCCTTCCTAGATCTTGCAAGCCCGAACTGTCTTCCAGGAAGCTCACCAGGGTGCCCTCCACACACAAGCAAGAACAAAGGACCTCTGAGTGAGAGCCCGGCCGCACCGGCTTTGGCCCAAGTTATGTAACATACCAGGTATCGCCCCAGCCCAGAGCGGCTCACAAAGGCCCCTGTGTGTGCATTACGGCATTGTTCAATGCTACCAATGGTAATTTAAGATCAAAATAAGCATGGGACAGGCAGTTCTGTCTGTCCTGCCCATGTCGTGTGGAACAGCCTTGACACCCTAAAGACAAGACTTGCGACAACCAATCCAAAGGGCGGCTCCTGCTCAGTGAGGCACCCAGTGCTGGGCACAGGCACGCGCATTTCCACCCGTCACATCCTCCCGGAACTGCTGCGAGGCAGATGGTTTTACGGCTGCACGACACAGGTCTGAGGGGCCCACGGATAGAGGGGCTCCAGCCGCTGCTCACCTCGCTGTCCACAACCCCATTCCTGTCCCGGTGGGGAGACTCGTAGGCGTCCATCTGCTGCTTGGAGACCTTGGCCAGCTTCTCAGCCAGCTCCCGCCAGCGGTGGGCCACCTCCACGGCCGTGGTCAGGAGCACAAAGTCCTGGATGAGTCTGACCACCAGGCCCTGGCAGTCCATCTTCAGTAAGGCCTGTGGGGGAAGAGGCACAGAGTGAGGAGGTGTAAGGAGCAGGGCAGGCTCTGCTTCCTGCAGAATTCCAGCAGACAGCGCAGGAATGGCCATGGGCTCTCTGCTCTCCATGTTCTCTGGCCTACCAATGTCCTCTGAAATCTGTCACTGCCAGGACTCACAGGAGAGAAGGGATGACGTGCGGGCATGCTAGGCTCACCAGGGTCTCCCTCCAAAGCCCACACCCGCCTGGAACCTCACAATGTGACCTTACTTGGAAATGGGGTCTTTACAGATAGAATTAAGATGAGGTCATTCTGTACTGGGGGAAGTCACCAACGACTGGTGTCTTCATAAGAGAAAGCAGACACAGAGGCAGAGGGAAGAAGGCTGTGTGAAGACAGAGGCGGAGACTGGATGGATGCGGACACAAGCCAAGGAATAGAAGGACGGCTGAGCCGGCAGGGCCTAGGAGAGGCCTGCACACATTCTCCCCCACCGCTTCCAGATGAAGCAGCCCTGTGACCCCCTGACTGAGACCTGTGGTCTCCTGAACAGTGAGAGGACAAGCGTCTGCTGTTTGAAGCACCTCAGTTTGTGGCCATTTGTCTTGGGAGCCCCAAGACAAATGGTGAATAAGGCAGGGTGAATATGGATTAGAGTTGTCACCATTCCCACTCCCACTGGGGACACCAGAGAGAAACGAATGCACGTCACCAAACAGACACCATAGCCTGAGGCTGAGAGGGACAGAGGGTGCGCTGAGTGTGCGGTGCTGACATTGGCCAGTTAGAGAGCACCGAAAGCAGAAGAGACCAAGGCTGTGGACTCAGACAGCGGCCACCCAGGGAGAACAAAGAAAGAGAACATTCGAGGCCTGAGGCGGAGATGGAGGATGTCCCACCAAGAACCACGGTGATCAGATCAGAAGAGCCCCAGACCTCCCGCAGGACGGTGCAACACGAGAAAAGTTTCCACAGTCGGTGGGGCTGCAAGAACTTTCTACTATGTCTTTAGGACAGGAATTACTAACCATAGGGGAAGTCAGAGGGGAGGAAACAGGACAGAGAGCCCTACTGGACAGCAGAAGTCCCAGCTGAAGCCGCAACCACCATGTGGCCGCGCTGGGACTCAATTCCCCCCTAAAGAAGGGGGCTGGATGGGACAGGCATGGAACATACGGCTCAACAGCCTCTAACGTACCTGAGGGACCCCAGGCTGGGGTCAAACTTTCATTTCTGGCTTAAAGAAACGAATGGAATTGGCCAGCACCAGCCAGCAGGCCTGCGGGTCTGCACACTGTGCGGTGTACATCTCCTGCCGTCCCAGGTCACATATCTGCCACTGGGTGTCATGCGAGCGACTCTGGCGCCGTCCTAATTATAAATGAGCCCACACATGGTTAGCGTGTGGCTCTGAGCCAGTCAGGATGATGTCACCAGGACAGCAGGAGAGCTGCGTGCCGGGTCTGATTCTTGTCTGAGACTCCTGTGCTGTAGGAGGTACAGCTCACCCCCACCCCTAAAGCGTTCTCTCATCCAACAATAGGAAAGGCTCGGCTTCCAGGAGAAAGGGGGCCTAGGCAGCCCAGAGGCGGTTTCTGAGGCTCCCGTGGGCCCTTGGACAGGCGAGTTGCTAAGAGGGGAGGAAAGTCACCAGGCCTGGCGCTCTTTCTGTCTCTTTACGCTCTGCTTCAGCACCTGAGGTTGTCATTTTAGGACTCCAAAGCGTGCTAAAAACCAAACAACCCCCGACCCGCCAACCACGCCGCTGGTGTCAGCGCTCTTAGGTGGACTGTTTCGTGTGGACAGCTGCGTCGTCTTGCTAGTGCTCATGCCGTCGGCTGGGCTGCTTCCTTCAAAGCTAGCCCCGGTTTTAGGGGCTCAGTTTTAGGCTGAGCATTCTAACGTACACTTTATGTTCACTTGGGAGTCTAACAATACAAAAAGGTGACTTCTGGCCAGCCATGGTGGCTCACGCCTCTAATCCCAGCACTTTGGGAGGCTGAGGTGGGCGGATCACCTGAGGTCAGGAGTTCAAGACCAGCCTGGCCAACATGGTGAAACCCCGACTCTTAAAAAAAATAAATAAATAAGGTGACTTTTTTGGCGATGTGCAGCATGCAGCAGCCAGAGTTGGTGACTCACGAGCCTTCTAGGTGGGCCCCCAGCATCTCAATCCATGTAATTTAAAAAGAACCATGGGGCCGGGCACGGTGGCTCACACCTGTAATTCCAGCACTTTGGGAGGCCGAGGTGGGTGGGTGGATCACGAGGTCAGGAAATCAAGACCATTCTTGTCAACATGGTGAAATCTCATCTCTACTGAAATACAAAAAATTAGCTGGGCGTGGTGGTGCATGCCTGTAGTCTGAGCTACTTGGGAAGCTGAGGCAGGAGAATAGTTTGAACCTGGGAGGCAAAGGTTGCAGTGAGCCAAGATTGTGCCACTGCACTCCAGCCTGGCAACAGAGCAAGACTCCATCTCAAAACAAACAAACAAACAAAAAACCCATGAGCGACAGATCATTCTGACGCCTGACTAGATCTGAGAGGCTGGCAGCTGGCCACCAATGGGGCTGGCTGGAAGAGGGTTTGAGGAGCTGGTGGCTGTTTCTATTTTTGTAGAACCTACTAGAAACCCAGGTCTTGCTGCGAGCCAGACACAGCTCCTCTAGTCCCCAGAGCCACCCCATGAAGCAGAGGCTGAGTTCAACCCACTTTGCAGAAGAAGCTGAGAGGTGAAGTGGGTTTCACACACAACTGTCAGAGCCAGAGCTGCCTCCCCGCGCCCGTCCCCCAGCTCCTCCCTGCTGTGTGGGCCACAAGGCATCTGTTCTACAGATAAGCACAAGAAGCCGGCAGACGCCAGGCTGGTCCCGGGTCCCACAGCTGGAAGTGACAGGCGTGGAAGCAAATGCAGACTTCCTGGCGCTTGGCCAGCAGCCTTCCCAATTCTGTGAGCACCACGTGGCATTGGGAATGGAACCGAATATAACACTGGTCTGGATTGTGCTTCATATCAACTATTTATATATTTCAGAAGAAAGTCTGTTTCAGTTTGAATTTAGATATATTCAAAATAAATTCTTTAAAAAAATTAAATGTTTACTAGATTTGTTTCAGAAGATCGAAGAGCATACAGGTGTGTATTCACATGTGGAGGGTGTATAGTAAACTGGTAGGCGGTCACATTCTGTCTTGCTGTGGTCAAAGCTTTGTCTGTGGTCCTGGGAAGGTGTGCTGGACCATCACAGGGTTTGACACGAAGACGCTCACTGTCCCCACTTGACTCTCTTGTGGCAACTCAGCACACACCAAGCCCATATGGCTGTGTGCACGGCTGCCTGGTCCCAAAGCGGCATCGTTTTCTAGGTAACAGAACACGTCAAAGTCACCTGCTTCTGACTCAACTCATTCCTGGTACAAGTGATCAAAACTGCTCTCTCCCCAGGGGCAGAGGGAACAGGTTACCAAGGTCCTGGGAAACACAGGTGCTCTCTAGTCCCTGGGAAGGAGACTGCCTGGATTCCATCTCCCTTTTCCACGGATCCTGGATGAATGGAGAGGTCGGCGCTTCCAACACCAGAATGAAGGCATCTTTCACTCACTCACTTTGGCTCCACTTACACAACTTTTACTGAGCCCAGCACTGGTTTAGCTTGTTATAAACCACCAACACCATCAACAAGGCGTAATTTATGCCTATTTTTAAAGGGTAAATTTTGGGTCTCCACCAATTCTTAGCAATGGAAAAGTTTCACAGCAGGAGGCTCTAGCTCTATGAACCCGATCCCCATAGCTTCCCTTTTTGGGGGGCACATGGGTATACCAGAAAACACTCAATGAAGCGATGCACAATCCTGATTTCAGCTGAGTGAGTCAGTCCACCCTGATTTAAGTCAGGGACACTGAACTCTATTTATAAAGGGACAGGCAGTATTTTTGGCTTTGTGCAGCACACTGTATCTCTCAGAGTGGCCTGAAAGCCACAGACGATGCATATGGGAATGGGCATGCCTGGGTTTCAACAAAATGTCATTGACAGGAATAGCAGGCCTGGGGGCCAGAGTTTGGCAACTGATTTCAAGAGATATTCTTGGCCAGGCATGGTGGCTCAACCCTGAAATACCAGCATTTTGGGAGGCTGAGGTGGAAGGATTGCTTGAGTTCAGTGAGTTCCAGACCAGCCAGGCAACATAGTGAAACCTTGTCTCTACAGCGGAGGGGTGGGGAGGTGGGGAGAGATAGCATGGGGAGAAATGCCAGATATGGGTGAAGGGGAGGAAGGCAGCAAATCACCCTGCCATGTGTGTACATATGCAACAATCTTGCATGTTACATGTACCCCAAAACCTAAAATGCAATTAAAAAAAAGAAACTTTGTCTCTACCACAGACAAAAAAAAAAAGAAAGAAAAAAGAAAAATTAGCTGGGGTTGGTGGCTTATGCCTGTAGTCCCAGCTGCAAAGGAGGCTGAGGTGGGAGGACTGCTCTGAGTCCAGGAGTTTGAGGCTGCAGTGAGCTGTGATCACACCACTGCGCTCCAGCCTAGGGGACAGAGCAGCGAGACCTTGTCTTGAAAAAAAGGTGGGGGTGGGGGGATATTCTTATGAAAGTACAAAGAAATACAATTTAGGCTTTTTTGCTGCTTGTTCATTACATTGCGCTTCCTTCCCAAGACGTCCAGATGCTGGAAGGGAAGCCTTCTCCACACAGCACCTGGACGGCGGGCCCAGTCTCCTTCTTGGCATCGAAAGATGCTGTTGAGTGTAAAGATTTCTGATTCTTAAAAAGCTGGGTTCCCTTTCAAAGCCTCCACCACGGCCTGATGCTGTCCCTCCTCTTTGCCTGACAGGAGCCCACCGGCCACGCCGTGCTTCCGGCTAGTCTACAGAGCATGCACAGTGGGGGTTTCCTGTTCCCTGCTTCCCCTCTGACACCTCAGGGGGCTGAGAGTAAACTCTACCCTCAAATCATGCCACTGCCACCATTATTTGTACATGAGACCCACGAAGGAGCACAAGGCTTAAATGGGAATGTGCACGGTTCTCCTTTCATAAATATTTATGCCCCCCTCCTATGGCTTATTGCATATGTATATTTGACCACCAATATCCATAAGTTCTTATTGCCTCTGCCCTTCCCTTGAAGTAACTGTTTTGGCTTCTGGCCAGAGGCTCTGCTTACTGGCCTGTCAGAATGGCCACTTGCAGGCTGCACCCTTTACAAGGAATGAGGCTCTCCTTTCCAAATGCATGAACCTTATCAATCTTCAGCTGATGCCACCATGGACAGAGGCTCTGGTAGGAGAGAGGTGGCCAGGACAGAGGAGGGTAGCCACAGCCACGCTGCTGGGAAGGGGCAGGCGGAGGCACCGGGATACCCCACGCACTGGCTCTGCTATCAAAAACAGGCATGAAAAGAATGGAAACTGGAAATGCAACCACAGATCAGAAGCACGGTATGGCCACATGAGAATGCCTCCTGCTTGGATTCTTAGTGCTGCCCAAGGCCTGCATTCATCATCCATTCATTCATTCCTCACTTTCCATTGAGTACCTCAGTGTTTTTTAGGTGCCAGGGCCCTTCCTCTCATGCAACCTATGTCCAGTTAGAGTGATGAGAAGCAAGTACACGAGAACATAAACAAACTTGTTTCTTTTCTTCCTTTCTTTATTTTTGAGACAGGGTTTCACTCTGCTGTCCAGGCTGCAGGGCAGTGCTGCGACATAGCTCACTGCGGCTTCGACCTCCTGGGCTCAAGTAATCCTCCCACCTCAGCCTCCTGAGTAGCTGGGACTACAGGTGTGCACCACCACACCTGGCTAATTAAAAAAAAAAAAATTGTAGAGATGAAGTCTTACTATGTTACTCAGGCTGGTCTTGAACTCCTGGGCTTAAGTCATTCTCCTGCCTCAGCCTCCCAAAGTGATGGTATTATAGGTGTGAACCTCCATGTCTGGCCAAAATAAACTGCTTCTGATTCAAGAAACACCATGGAGACAGGGGATGATGAGGTGCATGGGGCTGCAGGGAAGGACATCCTTGAGAGATGGCATTTGAGCGGGCAGCTGAAGGAGATGAGGCAGTCGGGCTAAGGGAGTTCCAGGAAGAGGAACAGCATAGCATCTGCAAGGGCTGGAGGCCAGGCGAGCTGCCTGTGTTCCGGGTAGGGGTGCTCGGAGCACAGTGGGCCCCAGGGGTGGGATGGGTAGGGTCAGGTCTTATAGGACTTTCTGGGGCGGGGGCAGGGGCTGACGCCCTTCTGATGGTGGTAGAGAGAGAAACAACCCAGGTCTCATTGGTTCCTTTTTCCTTCCCATCACCCTGCACACTGACTGTCTCAAATCCCCACACTTTCCTCATCATTTAGACCCTGTTTCCAACCCAGGTGTCATCAGAACAACAACACAGAAAGCAATGCTACAAATGAGTGTGTGTGTGTGTGTGTGTGTGTGTGGGTAGGGGGGCAGTGGCTGTGATTCTCCGGAGGAGCAGGTAAAGCAGTGCTGGGAGGCTGCAGAAATCCTGGCAGCCCCACAATGACAAGCGGAATAGAAGACCCAGTTTTCAGAGTCTCCTAATAAACCACCCTGAGATAAATCCATCTGCGGTTTCTAGAAGTTTGGCCAAGATGATGGCTGACACAGGTTGGGGGGATGGGGTGAGGACACTGCAAAACCAGTTTCACTTTATCACCACAAAATCTAACCTTGCCTCAAGGAGCCAACCTGGCCAGGGGCGAGTTTCACTTCCTCCTCTCTGGGTGGAGGAAGGACTCAGACACAGAGGACACACCCCTCCCAGGAGCAGATGGGGAAGCCCACCCAGAGTTTGGGAAAAATCCCCTCTCGGACACTTGGCAATTGAATTAAAAGAGTTTGATCATCTAAGTCTTCTGGGAAAAGATAAAAAAGAAGGAAATGAGCATCAAGCCACCTCCTTGGTTGTCATTTTCCGCCTCTGGTGTGGTGTCAAGGTGAGCGTCCTGGGCTCACCAACGCCGTCAGGTTCCAGGACAGCATGCATGGCCACGGCTGTGGTCTCAAGGCTGCCCACACAGAGGCTCTCACAGGATGGAGGCGCCTTGTTTGCCGCTGTGCTGGGTACACCCGTGAGGGGGCCAGGCCACAGCCAGGAACCAGCTTCTGGAAAGTTATTTTACTGGAGAGCCAGGACAAATGCTCTGAACCACAACGGGTGATGGCTGATGGGAGGGACATGGGCCATCCCCTCGCTGCAGGTGACCCCACGTGGGGCCCAGGAAGCTCCCTTGCTGCATTTGTTTGCTTCCTCCCCACCCAAGAGCAGTGACTTCCTGGTGGCCATGGTGGTGGCCTCTCTGATGGCTGCTTCTGGTTCCATCTCACTCCCCGGGGCAATCTCATGGCTCCATGCTTCTGGCACTGCACACAATTGCAGGCCCCCGAGAAAGGGTCTTGCTCCTGCCCCACTTCTGCCGGGCTGCCTCTCTTCTGTCTCCCGGCTCAGCATGGGTAGCCAGGCCGGGTATGTGCCATGTGCAACCTTTACCTGCACACCTGTGTCTACGGGACACTCCAGGCTCTCCCAGACACACGGGGCTCAATCCAGGGGAGCCAGGGAGGTGGCAGAAAGGCCAGGGCACCAGAACTGCACCTCTCAAAAGCTAGAACATATGAAAGCCTGCGGGCTCAGAGGAATGAGGAAGAGTGGCACACGCCAAGGCCACGGGGTTTTCCTGCAGGAATAAACACCAGTGATGCGTCCCTCTCTGGAGGATGGGGGTGGACTCTGTCCTATCTCAGGGAGAAGTCCACGGGGACTCTCCACCACAAACACCCCTGGGGATGCCAGGACACGATGTGGCTATGCCTAGCCAAGGTAACCTCTGGGTCCCAGCTCTGCTGATGGTGGGGCTACCTGTGGGGAGCGGGGCTGAGAAAGTGTTGAGCAAATCTGCCTGTGGGGGGCGGGGCTGAGAAAGCATGGAGCAAATGCTCCCCAGTTGGCTGGTAGGCCAGGGCGTATCCCACAGTCTGACACTTACTTCCCCCTTTTATTTCTTTGGATTCCAGCTCAGGGTTGTGCTGGCAAAATAAATGCTGTCCTCGCCCCAACTCAAACCAACACAGAGCGGGACGTGGAAACAATACAGAGATGCTAGAAGCTTCAAGGAAGCGAAGGTGAGAAAAACTGACAATGAACTCAGGCTTGGGGGCAGTGGTTCTTAAGACTCTGGAGACACAGACCCTGTTGGGAATCTGATGAACCACAGATCTGCTCCCGAGATCTAAACAGAAGGGGCGAGAGCACAGGCCTCCGTCTGCCCCGACCCCGACCGGGTCCGTTCTGGGACCCTTGAGGAGCTCACAGCTTCAGTGGGAAAGTGACTGGAATGTTCCTCTTTGCACAATTCTTGGGTTGTCTGGGCCCCCCAGTATCCCCCATAAACCCCTATCTCCAGATGCACACTTCAAGCCTCACATGTGTATCCCAGACAGAGGGACACCAGCCACAGACACCGTCCCGGTGACTTACGACACCACAGCCCTCACCCACGTGCACTGGGGAGGTGGAAAGGCTGCGCTGACCCTCATTTATCTCAGGCCATGGGACATCAGCCACAGACACCGTCCCGGTGACTTAGGACACCACAGCCCACACCCATGTGCACTGGGAAGGCGGAAAGGCTGCGCTGAGCCACACCCCTGAGCACCCAGGTGCCTACTGAGCACTCACCATCACAAGCTCCTTCTGGAAGGACTTCCGTTCTTTGCTCTCCATGTTGTTGCAGTCCTCCTTCAGCTTTTCCAGGACGCACGCCACCCGCTCGGGCTCACTATCCAGCTCCGCCCGGCAGAAAAAGGTCAGCGGCAGGTTCACGTAGCCCAGGGCGTCGGCGAAGGAGCGCCAGCTGCAGATGTTCTCCATGAGCAGGGTCCTCACGGAGGCGTAGATGTAGGTGAGGAACTTGCAGGGCCGCAGGATCTGCTCCAGCAGCACCGAGGTGCTGAGCTCGGGCCCCGCGCACAGGCTGGGCCGCGCCCTGCCCACAACCAGCACGTTCTTGGCGTGCACGAGGCCCACCCTGCCCTGGTAGTAGCCGATGTACCACTCCTTGGTCCACAGCTGCCCCCGGAGCCTGACCCGCTCCTCGCTGAGCAGGGCGATGCCGTCGCCCTTCTTGTACTCCAGCAGGTAGTGGTTCTTGTTCTGCCGCACCACGGTCTTGAGCAACTTGCCGAACTTGAGGCTGGACACTGGGCGGTCCTGGAAAGTTGGGTACTTGGTGGTGGTGGCAAACGGGGACAGGATGATCTTCCCGACTTCGTTCTTCTTGAGAAACCTCCTTTGCCCGGAAGGCTTGATGGCACTTTTGGGGGGTGGCTGAGGAGTCTGGACGCAAAACTGGGTGAGGATGGCTTCCTGGTCGTCCTTCACCTGGACCCGCAGCGTGAAGTCAGAGAGCTCGTTGGCGTTCTGGGAGGCGATGGGGAAGATCAGGCGGCTCACTTTGCCCAGCTTCAGCTGGAAGGCTCGCACCACTTTGGCCTGCTCACTGGCTCTGACCTCGTAATTCATCATATTGGAAAACATACAGACCTTGAGATCCTGGGGCCGGGGCAAAATGAACTGGTGCTTACCCCACAGCTGCAAGGCCACCGGGGCAGGGCTGGGTGCCTGGCGGGTGACCTCGCTGACCAGGAGTGTCTTTGGGGCACAGTCATGCCCAAAAATGGTCACTACCGTCTTGAAGGATGGATGGATGTGTTTGGGGCCGTACAGCCCCACTGTGACTTTTTTATGGATGAAGTCCCACACGGTGGAAGGGTAGAGGATGCTCGGGCCGTGGGCAACGATAGCCACGTACATACAGGGCTCCAGGTTGTGCAGCTGTGCCTGGACTGTGTCCCCACAGCTGTAGCTCAGCGGGACCGAGACATATGGTCCTTCCTTTGAGTCGCTCCTCAGGCACTGGAGGCCCACTGTGCTTTTGCTAAAAAGGTCCTTTTTTATCTCGGCCGACACTTTCATCTCCAGGATGATGGAGGTTTTCGCTTCCAGGTTGCTCAGCTTGACCTCCAACACGGGGCTGATGCTGCAAGACCTGTCACTGTTGAGCTCTAGAGGGGGGTCCAGCAGGGCTTTCAGGGAGATCTGCTGCATCTCGCCAGGGGTGACGTGGCCCTCGGGGACATGGATGCTGATGCCAGTGTCGGGGAGCTGCACGGTCCCACCGGAGCTGTCCAGCTTGCACACAATGTTTGTCTCCACAGCTTGGGTCTGGCCCCAACCAGGGCTCTGGCCGAGCAAGTCCAGGTCATGGCAAGAGCGGGCCAGCTTCCGGTGGTTTAGCCAGGCAGTTCGAAAATCCTCCCGGCTCTGGAATTGCTCGGGGGCAGGAGATTTCAAGCCGGTGAAGAAACTCGACGACGTAGGTGCGTCAGACTTGGCTTGGAGGACGGAGAGTTCTGAGAGGCTGTAGGAGCGCTTGCTTCTGAAGAAGGGGTTGTCCCGCTTGACCGGTGGCTCTGTGTGGAGTCCGTTTGTGGCTGGAAGCTCATCGAAGATATTGCCAGTGCTGTTCGTAGTGGCTGAGCTGGATTCAGTGAAGGAGGATGTGCCCGTGTCAAAAAGGAGCAAATCCACAGTGCTTTTCGGATTCAGCTCATCCAAGCTGGGCATGATGGGTGCATTCCCATTCAGAAACGGGTTGGTTTGGGCCCCATTCCAGAAAGGGTTATTACTGTACCTTCTGGCTGGTACGTTTTTGTCATCTGTCCATTCCCCGAGCAGATCCAGCTCCTTGGCTACCTCATCTGGGCTGTCTGGAAGATTGTCAATCATACCGCTGTCACTCAGCGTGGAGTTCCGGTAGTTCAAGGGCTGCACGTAGGAGGAGGGGATGTAGCCTATTTCCGTGGTGTTGTGCGCGTACCACCACTCACCGCCAGATGTGTCCAAGACATAGAGGTGGTCTCCTTTGGAGAACTTGAGCGTGGTGAAGTTGGTGGGGCAATAGTCCTTGATTGCAATCACCTCCTTTGCGTTTCCGAAAGGTGTGGGGTTGTCTACTAGCAAGGCACTGGGAGAAGGCACTGTGTAAAACACAAAGAAAAGAGATGGTGAGGGCAAAGCCGGCAGGGTGCCCAGAGCGCTTCCGAGGGAAGGGACGGAGGAAGGTGGCAAAACGGATGGGCGGGCAATAACCCAGGCAAGTCACTGACAGAAACAAACCAAAGTGAAGTCTAGTACCTCATTTACCTGGCCCACAAACTGGTTTGTGAGAGCACCACTGTCACTCTGTCACTTTCCAAATCGACAGCCTATGCCAGGCAGAAAGACCACAGAGGAAGCCTCTCCATCACTCAGAGAGGCAGATGGAGTATTTAGCACGCCCTATGCCTTAAACATCTCATTTTGGGCAACTTTAACTTCTTAACAGAACTACTACTAGATACAAAGAGAAACTGAATGTGATTTACTCAGAAAACACGGTGACCTGATGAGTCAGGTGGCCACTGCATGTAACTGGGGACTGGAAAGGAACATTCTCCCCAAAACTCCCGCAGCAACACGTATGAGCTGATTCCAAGATCTGCCTGTGGATGGAAAGGTTCCCTCGACCTGGTTCTTAAATTTCCAAGCCCAACCAGTTCCTCACCAAACTGCTTCTTCAGATAAAGTATGAATTCTGAAGTCAGATCCTTCCAACCTCTTTTTTTATTTTTATTTTATTTATTGATTTTTGAGACAGCATTTCATTCCATCACCCAGGCTGGAGTGCAGTGGCACAACCTCAGCTCACTGCAACCTCAATTGCTCGGGTTCAAGCGATTTTTCTGCCTCAGCCTCCCAAGTAGCTAGGATTACAGGTGCGTGCCACCACGCCTGGCTAATTTTTGTATTTTTAGTAGAAATGGAGTTTCACCATGTCGGCCAGGCTGGTCTCGAACTCCTGAACTCAAGTGATCCTCCCACCTCAGCCTTCCAAAGTGCTGGGATCACAGGCATGAGCCACCGTGCCCAGCCCAACCTATTTTAAATGATCGTTTAAAATCATAACACAAAAATAGACCGCCCACATATCTTGAAAATGAGAAATGATACCTAGTCATAGCTCATACTATCATTGAGCAAGTGTTGACGCATTCTGAAAAATTATAACCCCTTAAAAAGTGAATCAAGTTAATTTATGGCTCCTGCCATTGAACTCTGTAAGTACCAATGTAGACGGCAATGGAAACAGTAAAAATAAACAAGTGGTGTGTTTTGAAAGACAATGGATATGATTAAATATCTAAGTGTTTTTTCTCCCTCTCATACACGAGAAGACATATTCAGAAGATGAAGAACATTCTCCCTGAAGAAAATAAGCATATATACTTCTCCCCAGGACTCCCCTCCCCACATCCCAATCTGCCTCTCTCACAGAGTCTGCTGACATTCTGGCTTCCAGTAATAAACAAAAGAAAGAAAGGAGGCTTCTTTTTCTTTTCCTTTCAAGTTGCCAAAGCAAATGAGCAAAGAAAGGAATACATTTTCATTTGAACTAACTACAGCTTAAACTAACTATAGCTTTTCTAAGGGTAGATTAAGTCCACAGTCATCATGTCATCATATTCTATTCAACTGCCCCCCTCCCCGAAAATCACCTGCCAGTTTCCTTTTCCTTTCAAAGGAAATAATTACACTTCCTTGGTAAAGTGTTAGCAAATCAGGTAGACAGTTTCTGTTCATTTATGTTAACTGGGTTACAGAGATGAGCTTGGCTGGGAGCATCCCTGGCACTTGAAATCCCACCTACCCCACCCCCCACTCCCCTACCCCCGGTGAAATTACAGCAGGCCGTTTGCCTGGGTGTCTCAGAGAACCCGGCTTTGGGATCACTAGATCTGGACTTGAACGGAGCCCTTAGAAGCTGTGATCTCCAGAGCCCAAGACGCCACTCGTGGTGGAGAAAAAGTCTGTTTCCTCCATGGGCTTTGGACAGGACAAAATGCAAAGAGGTAGATAAGGCACTTATCATAATAATGCTTGACTCGACTTGAGGACACACAGGATGTTATGTGAAATAGCGATCTCCCGGCCCCAATGTTATCTTCTTCCATAGTTCTTATCACCAGCCGCTACATCATGTACCTGATGGGGTTCAGAACGTGCCACCCAAACATACAGCACCATGAATTATTTTAAGCTGCAGGAATTTAAGAAACAGCAGGTGCAGGAAGGACTCCCTGCCCGCCTGCTGAGGCCGGTCATAGGCCCTCAAGAGGGAGGGGCCCTCCGTATATGTCGGGGACAGAGCATCCTATCTCCAGGGACACGGAGTCTGCAAAGCCCAGGCCTTGCTGGCCTCCAGCTCATGACACTTGCTCAGCCCTTTTTTAGTCTCATCGCATTTTTCCAGGACTCTCCACACCCCGTCAGACTCCTCGGGTTTAACTACTTGTTTAAGTCTTCATTTCCTTAAGAAGAAATATATACATAATATATCTGTAATATACATAAAACATATATTAAGTTTGCAGGCTTTTCTCTTATTAATGTCTTTTGTTATAGGGGCCCAAGCCAAGAACTCAGAATTTTTCCTTCTTACACACTTTACATACATATATAAAGGAAAATACATGCATATATATGTGTAGTTTTTCTTGTGTGGGGGAGGGGGAGAGCCTCCATCTCCCCTTTAGGGTATCAGCACCATTGGAGGCCGTTTTGTTTGCTGTTGTATCCCTGGGCCTCATACAACGCCTGGCTCGCAGCAGGGGCTCAATGAGTATTTGTGGAATGAATGATTATCACACATGCTTAAATGACACAGGGAAGCCATAATCTATGTTACTGGATCCCGGTGTTGGTCAAAGCAATGTCTGAATTCCCCCTGGCTGCGCCCTTGTGCTCTAATAAAAATCATAAAAGCGACAAATTATTTAATATGAGATGGGAGTGCACTAAAAACCGTGAAAGAAAACGGCTTTGATGGAGAGATGAGAAGAAGTGACGGGGTCAGGCTGAGGCCAGAAGATACATATGCTCTTCTCCCCCACTCCGACTTGCGGGTTGTGATCTCCAGGAATATAAACCATTTTGTCTCCTTGACACATCTACTGGAAATGGCACATAAAGATGAAAACCAAGTGAAAATTAAATAAAGCTTGCTGGCCATCACAATCTTGCTAGAATCCCTCAAAGGTTATGTACTTATCATGCTCCCCCAGAATAATTCCCTCATAGTAGTTTCAAAATTAAGAAGTCAAAGCAATTAAGCATGCTTTGTGCATAGCCTAAAATGTATCGATGAGAATTATCACTCAGTTTTATCCAACTGAAGAATAAGAATGGTTTCATTTAAAATTCCCAGTACTCTCCTTGGAAGAGAAGTGGTCACAGATTTCACTCAAGGGATCAGGGTTACCCAAGGGAAACCACCTCACTCTTCTTTCCAGAACCCCAGGGAGATGGACTGTGGTGCGAACCCCCTTCTGGATGAGGCCCTCCATCAGTCAATTGCCGCCAAGCAGCTGGGGACACTGGAGAAGGGCTTCCATCCCATCAAATGCCAGAGAATCCCTATCAAATGCCATCTTAATGAATTCTGAGGAGTGTTACCCAGATTCACAGCCACCTTGATTTTAATACAAAATTCTCCCTGGGTGTTCTATAGAAGTTCAATGTACCCAATAAAACATTTCCTATCCCTCTGCCTGTGTCCTGATGCAGCAAAACACTCATTGCAGCAGAAGATTCCATGCAGATATTTTGGCTGGAATAAATTCCCGCCTTAAAGTCTGTCTACCACCGGGATGTGTGTGAAGCTGCTGGCTGGCACACTGCCTGCGTGACATGTGGCGCCTCAGAGGCACAGCCTCCAGGATCTCTGGGCGAGGCTGGAGATCCCATGGTCCTGTCTGCCTCAGATTCTCAAAACACCCTCCCCTTCATGCTCGAGGCTGTCTAGTTTGTCTTCCTCCTCCAAATTTGGGATTCTTTTAGGTATAACAGTCAATATTTTTTCCAGAGCACTATCATTATTTTTAAAAATTCATCTCACATTATAAGACTCTGCTCTCCTCACTTTAACACGCTGCCCAAATCACGCAATTTATGCTCACAAGTTCTAGCTTTAACTCTGATGAATTGGGTTATAAAGTACAAAAACAATGTCTGTGAACAGAACCTGAAAAATAAATGCTTCAGTTATTTATAGCAACACCCAGTCACTGTTGCTCTCTTATTAAAATCTCATACTGGCTAGTCTTTTCTTTTAGAACCTTTACAGCAGTGCTCAGGGATGCCAGCATCAATCGGGGCAGGGAGAAGGTGTCTGGGATAAAGCGGAAGGAGCAGCTACTCAGACAGACATAAACACGGTGCATGTAATTTCTAGTAGATCACGGTAGAGGATTACAGCTTTATCTGGGGGATAGCGGTTTAGTTCAAGAAACGTTTACTTAGCATTGACTTTAGGCTGGGACGGAGGATACAAAGGTCAAAGTAAAGTTCCTACTTTTCAGCTGTGCTCCAGGCAAGACAATTTCAACAGCTAAGAGAAAGGCAAGGGATGGTGGTATTGATGATGTCGGTGCTCTCACTGAAGCTGCCAAGCCCCAACAGAGCATGTGAGAGACACTGAACGTGGCCTAGGCGGGGGAAGATGTCCAGGAAGAAAATGACCTGCTGGTATCCACCTTGGCGTCCAAAAGATAGGTTTTCTCATCAACTCAATTTTATGAGGCCACTGGAGAAACCCAGAGACCCAGGGTTACCAAGCCACCTTCTAGACCAGGGGTTGGTAAAGCACAGCCCTGGGGCCAAATGGGGCTGACTGCAAAAACAGTTGTCATGGAGCATGAGTATGGCTGTTGACTCACTGACTTCTGTGGCTGCTTTCACGCGACACGGCAGCAGTGAGTAGTTGTGACAGAGGCTGTGTATGGCCTGCAAAGCTTAGCATGCTTCCTATCAGACCCTTTGGAGAAAAGGTTTGCTGACCCCTGCCCTACACCACCTTTAATCTTCTCTCGTGGTTCTCAATATTTCACCTCCCTGACACACTGTCTGTTCCCTGGGTTTTCGGACCACCACTACACTGTCACCGAATTTTATCAAGAAAAAAAGAAACATACCCTGTATGAAGAAGGGGTTTCACTGATGAGGGGAACATTCAAAACCTCCTTGAAACACACCAAAAAATAAGACAGATGACTATTATTCCAGGGCTAAGTCTACAGCACGATGAAGTTTAAAGAACTAAATTCTAATTATCTGAATGCTAAACCAGCAATCTTTAAAGCAGAAACGTCCTCAGGTCCCAACTTGCAAATCCCAGTGTTCCCCCCGAGCCACAGTCCTGTACCCCAGAAGCTCACCTTTGACATCATTAAAGCTCGTCTCTGAAAAGCCCTCGCTCAGGTCAATCAGGGTCCCCTCAGACTTGCAGCGCGGGAGGCCACTGGAGTTGGCAGCTCGGATCCTCTGAGCCGCCATCTTGACACTCGCTTCCGGGCAGAGCTGCTAAGGCCTCATCTTTCTCCCTCCTGTTACCCCAGCAACGCCGACGCCGCGGTGTCAAGCAAGCACGCTGCACGGCGACGTCCACTTGGCAATATGCTTCTTCCTGAAAGTAGGGGAGGAAAAAAAAGTCCCTTGAGCAAGCGAAACACGGGTCCAATGGTCATTTTACGGGAAATGGGAATCTTCCTTCTTCCAGGCTGTTCCAATGAGGACAGACCCATTTCATATTTCCTGGCCCAACAGGGCAGATCAGTGCCCGCTCCCTGGCCTCTGTGCCCACTTTGTGCTTTTCTCATTGGCACGGAAAACAGTGCTGGGCACACACAGCCCAAGCAGTGTTTTCTGGCCAGCCGTTTGCACCTGCTCTTCCTGAGGGTATAAGGGGGCCTGTGAAATGTGAGCCCATTCATTACAGTCGAAGAGGAGGACACAGCAGGACTGTACAGTCCGCACTGGTAGCCTCAGGGCTCAGAAAAGGAAAAATCGGCCTCTGCTTGTTCAGAGTGGCTGGGCCCAGTGCAGGAGCAGTCATCATGGTGACTCAGCCCCAGGAAGCAGCTACCAGTGAGCACGGCCCAGCAGAGGCCCCGAAGGTGATGCTCCCTACCCATGCGCTCCTGAAATCCCCCTTGCACCTCAAATAAACAATTCTAAATACAACACAGAGTGGCCAGGAGGTATTTTTCTCAATGCAACAGGGCAGAAGAAACGGGGGCATATTTACTGAACCATTGTTACTAGGCAAGAAAGATCTTTCTGTGGAAGAGACCACAAGAATCACCCCTAAGGCCTCTGCTTTTCTTCTGGAAGGGCACACAGACAGGACTGACGCATGTAGGGGGTTCTGGATATGAATGAGGTGACTGGCTTTGAGCAGGGCCTTCTTCACCAGGGAGAGAAGACAGAACAGCGGAGAGCCCATGTCGAAGAGGTGAATTTCACACGCTCTCCAAGAGAAAGTGGCAGACACCGTCATAGCTGGCCACAGTACTTAGAGCTCTGAGCAGGCAAATCTCACGCCTACCATAACCAGGCACATATACGATGGTTTGAGGTCCTTTCTTCCTCAACTGCTCTATCCAGAGACAGCTGGGAAGGCAGCTTCTGACCCAGTGTGCTGCCTTTACCATGCAGAGACGCGGAAGCCGTCACACCACCCTTTGCAGCATTTCCACAGCAGCCAGTTCACAGCCCTGACCATCCCCACTCTTCCCCCAGGCTCCACGTGCAGTGACTATGGCTCGGAGGGCCCCTGTGCAGTGAGCAGAGCCAGGCGTGTGGCCACATGCTGCTCTAGGGATAATCTTGTGTTCAGTATTTAACCCTGCCAAGTCTCAGCCACTGTCACCACTGCATCAGAAGCTGCAGTTCCAGCTCCACGTGACCGGCTCGAGCGAGGCGTCCTTTCCATCTCAGGGCCTCAGAAGGCTGCATTCTGCACTTGAACGCTCTCTGGAGAGAAGGCATGTGTTCCCCCGAAGGCATGCTGAAGCCCTATCCCCTAATGGGATGGCACTGGGCGGTGGGGCAGTAGGGAGTAGCTAGAGTTTGAAGCGGTCATGAAGGTGGGGTCCCCATGATCAGATCAGTGCCTTTACTTGAGACACCGAAGAGCTTCCATTCTCTCCCTCTGCCACGTGAGAACACATGAAGCGAGGAAGAGGGCCCTCACCGGGAACAGAGCCGGCCAGCGCCCTGACTTTGGACTTGCAGCCCCTGGAACTGTGGAAGATGAGCCTCCCTGGTTGGAGCCGCCAGGGCTGTGGTGCTTGAATACAGCAGGCAGCAGGAGAAAAGAGGACAGCGGCCACCTCTCTGGGGAGGGACAGAGCTGCCCTCTGTTTCCCTTAAAAAACACCTACCTGAGCCCAGCACCGCCGTCTCTCCTGCCCAGCACAGTAGGGAGAGGCGGAGTGGATGCTGGCACTCACACGGGCCAGTTATTCACAGGAAGGAACGAAGCAGCTCCCCCTGAATTGGGTGGTCACAGACGTTTCTGTCTTTCCCTATGAAGTTAGGATAGTCAGGTCTGTGAGCGTACTCCCTTTTCCCAGCCCCAGAGAACTATGCATGGAGGACACCACCAGACCCCACCTTGGACCCAGGAGGAGGCCTCCTCCCACCCCACACTCCACCATCCTGCTGGCGTCTGGGACACTGAGGCTCAGCACTGACAAGCCTTGGGGACACAGCACCCTCGTCCCCCACCATAAGCAAAGACCAAGTGGTTCTGTCTGCACAGCCTGTGTGTAGAACTGGAGAAAGGGGTCTTGCCGCCACTCCAGAAATCATCCCACCACAGCCAGGCGGACGGTAGCCCAACAGCCCCCAGATGCAAGGGCCGCGTGTACAAGCCCTAGGCTGCTTGGAGGCCACTGCAGAGACCCCAGCAACAGCCCTCTCCGGAGCAGCCTGGCTTCGATATTCTGAGCAAGGAGTAAAAATCCTTCCCATACAAAAACGCGCGATCATTTACTGAAGAGAGGAAAATGCAGAGAGGAAAAGAAGAGACCATGTGTGGGTGAGGGGAGGAGCTTCAGGACAATCTCAGCCCACAACCAGAGCTTGCCACGTGGTCTTTCACGTGGGACGGTGACAGTTCCTGCCTGAAGGTCTCCGTCTGACTGTACCTGAGGAGGAGGAGAAATCAGGGGGTGTCAGCTGTGAGGGCAACTGGAGCCCATCTGCTCCTCCTGTAAGGGACTGGGGTGCCCCACCCCCACCCAGGCCAGAGCTGCTCTGAGGACTTTGCCGGGTGAGACTCTGAGTCACAGTGGTCGAACAAAGGTTCCCGGTAATCATCAATGTCTCTCCTGCGGAAGGGCAAGGGCTGCCTCAGCCTTTTTGGCCACCTCAGGACTGTGGCATTGCCTGGTTTCCCATTCACACCAGGAGGCGTTATTTCACGGAGAGTAAACAAGAAGTCCATCTGCGCATAAGAGGGAGGCATTTCCAAAAGCTTGCGGGCACATCCTGGCTCTGTACAGCTGTCAGCAAAGGCCGGGGTCAGGCACCTGGAGTTCCACGCAGGCTGCTCAGGGCATCGCCCGGCCTGGTGGGCCCTAGGGCGGCAGCAGGAACGGGATCTGGAGAGCAGGACTGGCCACCTGGTGGGGCCCAGAGAGCTGCCCATGGAAGGTGAGATGCCAGTGAGTCATCAGTGAGGAGGAGGAGGAGGAGGAGGCCCAGAGGCCAGTGGGAGGCCTAAGGACGGGTGCACATGGTGAAGACCTGCACCAGCATTGGGGGCTAGAGGGATGGAGGGGCTGCGGGGGGCCCACAGTGAAGGCAGGAGGCCAGGTAAGTGGGCGGGACGCGGGGGCGGAGGTCAGTCTTGCCCAGGAGACTCCGGGAAGCCACTGCAGCTTTCTGACTGAGGAAGAAAACTCCGGCTGAGAGAGGGGAAAACTGAAAGCAGCAAGGTCATTTTCTTTGAAAACTATGGACATAAGGCGTTCAGCGCCCCGCGGGCAGAGGAAAGAAGTCACAGAACCCTGCACGTGCTTCCGGGAGATGCACCACGTGGTGTCTGGGTTTATTATTGATGGCGGGATATGGCCACTCCCCTGAACCAGTCAGGAGACAAAAAGTTAAAGTGTGTGCAGTTCTAGAAGGAGATCCACAGTCCTATCCCCACAGAGGAAGCCATTCAAGGAAGACGAGGCAACACCTGTGGACTCTGCCACCCTCACCCTTTTCAGCCCGAGAGAAGCCACGCAGGGAACTCCTACCCCAGGGCCCAGAAGCCTCGTGTTCTCACGGGCACCACTGCTCTCACTCACAGGTAACCCTCTCCTCCGTGCAGCAGAGGGGAGACCTTTGTCCTGTGGCCCTCAGTGCTCCGTAAATCCCCGGAATGACAGCTTCTTCCCCGGAGCCAGAGGGAGGCCATCCTGGAATAGAGCTGTACCACCCATCCAGACATTCAGGGCTGCGTAACAGAGGGGCCCACTGTCTGAACCCTTGGGGCCATTTTTACACTACAGAAAAAGGGCAGCCAGCCCTGGTGTGGAGCAAGCATGGAGGGCTCCCCGCTCCCAAAACCCTCCTGAGCAGGTGGAGCCGGAGCGAGGGCTAAAGGGGAAGCTCTGCTCCTCCAGACGCTGCTGCATCCACAGGGGGCTGGCACAGGACAGAGGACGCAGCCAGCACCCCAGGGCTGCCCTCGTTGCTCCTCACTGGGAGGTCAGCTCTGTCCTCCTTCCTACAGCGGTGTCCTCTCCCCTCCCACCCCTCCTCTTCCTCCCAGCTCAGCCTGGCGTGGCCGCCCTCACTGGCCACCGCTGGGTGATGACCTGTCAGTCTCCCCTGGATCACCCACTTTCCCCATGGAGCCCAACAGTATCTCCTAGACTGAACAGACGTGGAGGCTGACAGTCAGGTGCCCACCCCTTACAGCACAGGATACACTCCAAGCTCCACCACGCACCATCCCACTGTGTCCTCAAGGGACAGAAAGAGGGCAGCAGGGACGAGGCTTGGCTATGCTTGTGCAGATTCCATGAAAATGGGCTTGGAGAGATCACTAAAGCAACTTACTTGCCCAAGGCAATGCAGCCAAGACCTGAGCCTGACAAAACACTCTGCTCTCAGCCTTGCTAACTGTTTCTTCCACGCCCAGGGCTCCCAGGCCTTTGCTGGCAGTGGCTGCTGGGCCCCTGAGCTCCTCAAGCCCTTGCCCTCAGCCCTGGTGAGCCCTTGATTCCTTCAAAGCCATGCTGCCGCCCTGCTCCAACACCTCCAGGCAGTGCTCACTGCCTTTAAGAAGTCAGTCCGATCTCCCCTGACCTGGGATACAAAGCCCCCCACTACTCAGCCTCCACCTGTACCTCCACAGTTATGAACCGCGGATCTCAACCCTTAAATCAATCGTCCGCCACAGTCGCTGGAGCTTGCGGTGTCTCCGGCCCGCCTGGCACTGTCCACCTCTGAGCTGTTTCTTCAGCTGCTGCCTGGAGCAGCCAGGACTCACCCAAGCTTCCAGGAAGCTCATCTTCTCTCACCCCCTCTTTCAGTTCCGCTGCTCTCCTGCCCTGCGAGGTCCTACAGTGACTCACCAGTGCACGGCATGCAGAGCCCGTGGCCTGGAGCCTGTGGCCCGGA